CTATATTTTCATTTCCTAGTTGACTTGTTAGACTATAACAACAAAGTCTAATCATTGTACTTTTGAGCACAAAGCATTAACCTTATAGACTAGAAAAATGAGGAATCAACAAGCTGACGAATAAAAAAAAGATCCCACATCTTTTTCACCATCCATTAACAACTTTGGATAAGAAGCATGAGAGCAGCTCCCTGAGCCTACTTCCTGTCAGAACATCTCTTCAGAAGCATCCCTTGTATACCCAATCGAGTGCTCCAAATAAGTGGGGGAAAATCTTTCAGTTCAAGTAATGCACGTTACAAAGGGACCCCTGGGACCTGGGTTAATCAACCTCTTTCTTGTATGGGTTATCCTACTTCTATACAAATTCCATTCTCCTAAAGTGGTATTTTACGAAATAATAAAAGGAAATTCCCCAACATGTTTGCTCATCGTAAGTCAAGATATTTGAACTGCATTAATTATTCTTCCTGACATAAAAACAAAACCATAGCATCTTCAATCTAAGAGAGGGAAAATTTGATTAGCAATCTGCGATCAACAGTCAAGACTCTGCATTTCTTCGATTTCTCTTTACGAAGTACAGTTTCTAATTAGAAAAAAGGTTAAGGGAAAGGGATGGAGTCCAAACTGAAATGGCAAAATAAGTCATCGATCAGAAAGCATTAAATAGGTAAAACGTCATCCGAAACCTTTGAAATCATTTTCATTTCACATAGGCCTCTTGAATTTTCTTAACACAGTTGACAAACTAAGGTCTCGAGGTTTTATGATTGAACAACTAATATCGCTAACTTGAGACCAGATTATTAGAAACGAATTTTTAGAACACTAAACGAGAAAGCACGCTGAAGATCGAACGAAGCGAGAATTACCTTTACCTAAGAAGACTATAATGAGCCAATACGCAAGCTAAACTTCTTGCTAAGAAAATTTAACAATTAGTTCGCTGAAAGGCCATTCATTTCCCAATATTCCCATTGCAAACTCAAATCAGCTAAGTCAGTAGAGGATTGAAACGTCGATACGTCGGAAAATAGTATGGAAAATGACTTACCCGCTGCGAATTAATCGAAAAGGTTTCGGAGCAGGAATCGCCGACAATCCCCGAGTCCCCAAAGCCCTAAAGAATAATAATGTTACAAACACTGTATCGAGCGATGGGCGACGAGGAGGATGCCAGGTTGGCGCGCGTCCAGGTGAATGCTGCGTCAACTTGAGTACTGATTGCACCGCCACTATAATGCCACGTCACACCCATTTAACGTATTGATTGGCTGATGCAAAACGCATAGGTTGACATGGCGGTCATGTAGTATGCGTCACTGGCCATGGAATTTTTTATTTTATTTAATGGAAGCAAGGTTGAGAAAAAGACCCGAAAAATCGATCAGACCGATCGGAACCGACTGAACGGATGTTGGTGGTCGGTTCTTTAGTATGTCGGTTTGATTGTCGATTCTGGTTTTTTTTATAATCGACAAGTGGATTATACCTATCAATTTATTTTGATTTATTTTTATGTTTTTAGATATTAGGTTTGAAACCATGATCGTAGCTTCACTACATGTTCTTATGTAAACAATAATGAAAAATATTATATACAAGAGGAATTGAATATAAATATGAAAAAGATGAGAATAAATTAACAACAAAATTTATATATATATATCATTGTCGATTCTTCGATACACAAACCGACCAAACCAATAGTCGATTCGGTTGTCACCAATTCCTATAGGTAAACTGTCATTCGACAATTGACTCCAACTAATTGATGCTTAGCCCTATATGAGAGTACCATATACTTCCTTCCATTTATACAAGTAGACTCCCACAATATTTTAATATAGTGGTAGTAAATATAAGAGAGTACGATACTCTCATAGTTGCTTCTTCCAATACTTGTCCGGTTCCAAGGCCTTATTCCTAATCTCTCTCTATATATATTTGTTTTAATTATAGAAATTACTTACTCACTAAAAGTCATAATTTTTGGTTTACCGTCACTAATATTCAATTATTTACAAGCAGAAAATGAGAGAATACAAATATACTTGTTTCATAAAAAAATAACTATCAATATTATTGGTAGTAATTCCTATTAATTGGTCACCAAGTATTGTTTTTATATTACATCTCACTTTTAACTAGTTAACTACTATTGAGTTGGCGTACACATTTCTTTGAACTTGAAACAACAACATGAATTCGTCTACTCTACTTAGTAAGTAAGTTTTTAAAAATTTTCAGATAAAAGTGAATTAATCAATCCCTAAACTAGTTAGAATTAATTTTAGGTTGACACATGTACTACATTTACTACCTACCACTTTTATTAGAAATCCACCAATAATTAAAAAAAAAATATATATATATATATAATTGGTAAATCTACAAACATCAACTATGAAATCATATACATATATATTTTTCATTGAATATTAAAACTCAAACAACTAACTTTACAAATTTGAAAGTTTGAAGTCCTTATACATGTATGCATATATATTAAAATAGTGAAAAACAATTCCATTATCAACAAAGATACATTAGAATATAAACTATAGTAGGAAACATTTTGAACAATCTTCATAGTGCTAAAAAATTATGAATTAACAATGGCTGCAGAACCAATGGCATATGGGAAGAGTCAGCGCTTTTGCTTGCTTTGTAAACAAATTGGGTGCAAAAGTACCTAAATTACGAAACCTTTATTTGACCAAAGCACTTTGAGCATGTAAACGCGTCCCCTTTCTGTGGTTTTTCCATTAACTTTTTGTTCCCCTTCTTCTCACGTTTTCTTACACCCAAGCTTGCTTCATTTGCTTCCGCGAAATTTCAGCCCTTTAATATGGAAAAAAAATAATGCCTTCAAATTACTACAAAGTACAAATTAAATAAATGGTGTAATACCTAACAGAGATAAAAGGTAGATATTATTTTATTAAAATTGGAATTTCAGTTCGTGGGAGGGAGTTTTGGTTTCTCTTTTCTTATATATTTAACAAGTCAAAAAAAGTTAGTCCCATAAGCACGAGATTGACAACTAAATGCGTTTGATATACGAAACTTTTCTAGACTCAATTCCTTCTGCTTATTACATTAATTACTCAATTTCCAATGCTGAATTCCCCCTCTCCATCTTTCTCTCTGGATCTCTTTCAAATGGAAATTACGAAACCTTCCAAGTCCGACCGACGTCGTTTCATTCTTTCTTCTATTTTCTTTATCTTTTTCCTCTGCGTCTTGGCCTCCATCAACGAAGCCCGTTTCGATGCCCTCTTGAAGTTCGGCCGATGCACCGTCGCCGGCGCCACTGCTTATTCCCCTACGACGCCGCCGTTTAATTCCTCCGACGGCAGCCTTCTTCCTGTGAATTCTTCGTCCTCTGCCTCGAACGATACGGATATCCGTATTCTCATCGGCATTCTGACTCTGCCCGATCAGTACAATCGCCGCCACTTCCTCCGTCTAATTTACGGCACGCAATCCCCCGCCGGAGCCAAAATCGACATTAAATTCGTCTTCTGCAACTTGACGAAAGAGGATCAGAGGATTCTGGTGGCGTTGGAGATAATGCGGTACGACGACATCATAATCCTCAATTGCAAGGAGAATATGAACAAAGGCAAGACCTACACCTACTTCTCCAGCCTACCGGAAATCTTCAACGGCGGTGGCGGATCTGATCAGCCGCCGTACCACTACGTGATGAAAGCCGACGACGACACTTACATCCGGCTGGACAGCCTGGCGGAATCGCTCCGGCCACTGCCGAGAGAGGATCTGTACTACGGATACGTGATTCCGTGTCCGAGTATGGATCCGTTCGTGAACTACATGTCGGGAATGGGATACTTGATTTCGTGGGATCTGGTGGAGTGGATCAGAGAATCGGAGGTTCCGAAGACGCATTTGGAAGGGCCGGAGGACAGAGTATTCGGAGAATGGATCAGAGACGGCCGACGAGCGAAGAATCGGTTCAATGCGAAGTGGTCCATGTACAATTATCCGGAGCCGCCGACGAGATGCACTCACGAGCTCTGGCCGGAGACGATCGCCGTTCATCTGCTGAAGAATCAGGAAAAATGGATTCGTACCTTGAAGTATTTCAATGTCACTGCAAAT